ACCCCAGACCGCATTTGTGGATATATTTTCAGCAACATTCTCTTGATATATTTAAACCAGTTACAGTATTCCATTTAACTGTTACTTCGCGAAGAGTACTTCCTCTCGCAGGCTTTCTACTAAATTTCGTAAATCTCTCTGAGATACAACTTTTGGCCTTCCCGAATTTTTACCTCTAACGTCTACGTTGGCAGATTCGCCGTATTTTTTTTATTATATTAAAGACCGTGGTTTTTGAAATACTTAAATCATCAGAAATTTTTCGAATTGTTTTTCCCGTACTGTATTGACAATTGATAATTTCGCGTAGTTTTTGATTTGTAGCTTTTCCACGGACCATTACTTTGGATTAAATTAACAAAATTGAAAATTAAAAAAAATAAAATTACTTACAGTAAGTCTCACTACTCAAAGTATCGAGTCACTTACAAGCTGTCAATGCTGAAGTAAACAGTTTGCGACATTTGTGACGTTTATAGCAAAGCCGCCTGATGATATTAATTATTTAAAAATACTTGTCCCAACATTTAGTTGTCAGCAAATTTGTCCTTTCATGAACAAAATCCGCTACTGTAAATATGGATTGATTTACAAATTCATAAAAATATCGTCAAGTTATTTAGGATATATGGCTATGTTTATATTTAAAAAATTAAACATATATTTTTCAGTCATTTTGAAAAACCAGAGCAATAATTCCATAATATGACCTTGTCCCAACATATAGTTGTTAGGGCTAATATTATTAAACTGATATAAAGTGTCAAATTCAACGAGCGTAACCATATAGTTTCCATTATTTGGAACGTTTAAAAAATTATTTGTGACGTTTGAGAAATGAAATTGATGAAAAAATGACATTTGTAATGTCAAATGTACAGCCTCACCACAAAAAGTATAATTTTTACTCCTAATAAAACAATATACTATTATTTAATTTTTCTCTAAATGTAAAGTCTACAAGTAACCCTGGTTAAGTAAAAACCTATCAATCTATGTAAAATATTGATTTATTCTGTTGTGCTCAAAATGCACCTATTGTATTAAAATTTATACTAAATAAACCACTATATTATGTAAAACACATTTTCTTCAAATTATTCTTTTGATCTTGATATACATTATTTGTTGTCCTTGTTCGACGTACCCAAATACATTGTCGTATTTTCAAAAGAAAAACAAATATTAACATACGGGCATTCCTAGAAAATTTTGTGTAAATAAATAACTTTTGTTTATATATCAGAAATCATGATATTTTTCACATTAAAAAAACTTTAAGTATTGTGATTGATAAAAAATACATAGTAGATGTTCCTAGAACTGTAATAACTGATAAAGTATATGAATATTTTATTTAAAAAACCTCTCCATGTCATGTCTATCGATTCTCGAACAGAACAGTGTTGTATTACCCTAATTTATTATAATTAATATATCAATAGATATGAAATATTCATTATTACTAGCTCTTAATCTAAATATTATCTATATTTGTCTCAATAACCTACCAAAAAAAAAAACGAAATATACCAAAAAAAGACTAAACATACTAAAAATGTATTCAAATTTTATAAATACACAGGATGTATGTTAAAAAAACAAAAGTTTACTAAAAAATGTTTTTGAAAGAAAAAATATTTGCAATTATACAGGGTTGTTCACCACATACGACACGGAGTATTGTAGCTAAACGAGGAGATTTTTACAAATTGTAAGTTTGGGGTTCGTTGAAGGACTATTAGAGCTACAATTTAAAAATATTTTTACAAGATACAGAGTGTCCCATATAAATAAAAAATATCAAAGTTGTATTTTTTTAAATGGAACACCCTGTATATTATTACATTTTTAGTTTCTACGATTAAAATAAAGGTAAATTTGATTAAGGTTTATTATACTTAAACCTTACCGTTTTTGAAATATTTTCAATTTTGTGAAATTGCAGTAAAAATTTTAAAGCTTCATTTCTCCAAGGGTATCAATGTTTTTAATACTAAATATTTAATGAAGTTTATTTATTGATCAGTTATTGTGTTGCAATAATAAAAATAATACTACCTTATAGAGAGTGTCTAAAAATTTATTTTAAATAATTATTAGCTTCAAACGGCAATAACTTCTTTAATTTAAATGGAATGCCCTGTATATTTTAGGAGAATCAGATGCACAATTAAATTGTCTATCAAATTGTATTATACCATTTTTTACCTATCCCTTCAAGTTTTCGTAGAAAATGCATTTTCTTATAATTTAGACCTCATTTATCAATATATCCATGGAATATTGACATTTTAGATTGTTTTTAAAGCAACAAATGTACAGCATGTTTTTAGCAAAACGATAATATTACTATACCATTTGTATGCAAAAAGAAAACTATTTAAATCTTTATAAAAGAGTATACCATTAATTAAATATAACACCATTATTTCCGCCCATATACTAATTAATGACATACTTAATTGTGTTCGTTAATAAATTATTATAAATAAATGTGGATTTTTGAGTCAGAAATCAATATAATAATAAGTTATCAAATTAAAGTCTTTGTTGTTATAAATAAGCATTTATTAAAAAATGAAATATCATTTTTAAGGTGTTACTTTTATCACACTGTCTAATGCCCATACAAAATTCAGTTTTTAGTATTTGGAGCAATTATTATTAATCAACGCAAACAGTCAGTTAATGTTGTTTGAATACTGGAATCATATTAATTGGTCCTCTTTAACAAATATTTAAACAGTTTTTTTATTTTTAATGAAATAAACGAATTATATCGACAATATTAGTATCTGTACTCTTTAAAAATTTGGTACATCTTTAAAAATAATCTAAAATGTCAATAGTCCATGGGTATATTGATAAATAAGTTCTAAATTACAAGAAAATGCATTTTCTACGGAAACTTAAAGAGATAGGTAAAAAATGGTATAATATAATTTGATAGACAATTAAATTGTACATCTGATTCTCATAAAATATACAGGGTGTTCCATTTAAATTAAACAAGTTATTGCCGTTTGAAGCTAATAATTATTTAAAATAAATTTTTAGACACTCTGTATAAGGTAGTATTATTTTTATTATTGCAACACAATAACTGATCAGTAAATAAACTTCAGTAAATATTTAGTATTAAAAACTTTGATACCCTTGGAGAAATGAATCCTTAAAATTTTTACTGCAATTTCACAAAATTGAAAATATTTCAAAAACGGTAAGGTTTAAGTCTCGGTTTAAGTATAATAAATCTTAATCAAATTTACCTTTATTTTAATAGTAGAAACTAAAAATGTAATAATATACAGGGTGTTCCATTTAAAAAAATACAACTTTGATATTTTTTACTTATTTGGGACACTCTGTATCTTGTAAAATTATTTTTAAATTGTACCTCTAATAGTCCTTCATCGAACCCAAAACTTACAATTTGTAAAAATCTCATCGTTTAGCTACAATACTCCGTATCGTATGTGGTGAACAACCCTGTATACAGGGTGCGTCTCAAAAGTGGCTCACCCCTATAACTTTTATTTTTTTAGATAAAAAAACGAGATTTGATATGTTAGTATATGACATAAATTAAGATTGATTGACGCATTCAATTGTTTTTGGTCACTTCCTGTTTCACCAGGAACGCCTACAACTTTTGATTTTTAAATGGCACCCTCGGTATATTTTTACTTTATTCGATAGAAAATGACACTCTAAATAGAATGACATATTATCGTATGTCACTTTTGAATACCGAGATTACCATTTAAAAATCAAAAGTTAAAAGTAATCATTTCCGGTGAAACAGGAAGTAACCAAAACCAATTGAATACGTCAATCAATCCTAATTTATGTCATATACTAACACACCAAATCTCGTTTTTTTTTCTGAAAAAATAAAAAAGTTATAGGGGTGATCCACTTTTGAGACTCGCCCCGTATCAGAGACACTCTGTAGATAGAATATTTAGGTACAGACAAATTTATACAAAAATACCCTTATTTTTAACTACAAATCAAATAAAAAGATCAAAAATTGGAGGTTTTTCAACACAAATAAATAAAAAAAATAACAAAATAAACAAAAAGATAATCCAAATTAAAGAAAAAGAATCAGTAAAGAAAAGATACTTTACCTTATCTCTAGTTATCTTCTCCACTGCCTCGTTCAGTACTTGTTTGGCTTTTTCTTTCCTAACCCTCGGTATAAAAACCAGGCCGGCCAACCAAGCGGCCAAACCAAAAGGCCACGCCCAAAACAACTGACTTTTCGCGATGACCGTACACCTGCCCATCGTGGGCCACATTTGAAACTGACCTTCAAACAAATATTTTGGCTACTATATATTATCTATTTTATTTTACACCTTGTAAAAGAAATAGTGTACTAAACATCACAGTGGGTGATATTTTAATGGTACATTATTTTTTTACACCCTGTATATGGTCGTTGCGCCGTTCTGTACATACCTAAAACATCTAAGGAACTTTGATGATTAGATACGATGATGTAGGGTTCTTGGGGTTTTAATCGTTCTTCGTTTCGTAGCTCATATTTGACGCCTATAACAAATGAAATCCATCGGACAAAATAGGCCGCTGTCCTGAAAAAAAGCACAATCTGTCAACACTGTAAAAAATAATTTCATTAAATGGGTGGCTCTCAAACAGTGAAACATTGAATGATAATAATAATTTTTAGATCCATAATAATTCAGTGTTAGTAACATAGATTTAGGAAGAACAGATATCACATTGTGCATTTTAACCCGATCAAACAATCGGAGGTTGACTACGTACTGTAAAAACCAACTGAGATAGAGAAGGCGACATTGCCACATCTCAAATTTGCGCCTATCTACTTAGTTTGATTTGCAGAAAAGGTGATTTTAAAACCTTCACCGGATATCAATAAATCTCAATTTCTTAATTAAATTAATAGTTTATTTTTAAAGAAGCATGCGTAATAATATGGTTATTAACCAGAGGATATATGCGTTACTATTAAAGGACATGTTTACTGTTTAATGTGCTGAAACGTCTAGAACTATTGGCAACGTCGCTGCTAGTCTTCCAGAATGAAAATGAGCCGTTCGTCCCACCACCCCTCGCGACGGCCCTTGGTCCGTTATAGCGTACTACGTTTAGCTTACGGTGTGTTTGAAGTCGGAATCAAGTCCGAAGTGAACTTTTCAGTGTTTTTCAGTAGTTTTTGTTTTTGTTTAACGTACTTTTGAATCTGCGAATTTTCATTATGGTACGACAGTGTCAAGTGTGTGGAAAAATAAGCTCAAATTAACCGAATTTGTCTTTTCACAGGTAGGTACAAATTTCCGCCGTAATTGTACATAGGCGTCCCACAAGGGAGCCCCTCACAATTAAAATAATTTTTAATTATATTTGTTGAATTTTGATCTATTAAAACAAGAACGTAGTAGCCGGTAATTGAATTATAATTCGTCTCAATTACTACCTAACTGTTGCAGATCATAACAAATTTGAATATAAACGTTGCATTTGAAACTTTATTATAAGTCAGAAAGTGACATTTTTTCTTAAAATTGCGTCATATTTTGGTCATTATAATATACGATATTCTAAAGGAATTTTGCTCAACAAATAAACAAAGGTGTTTACCCGACCTTTTTTACATTTTACTGCTTTATTATATCTGCCACTTCGGCCTTGTTTAGACAATTTTTTACCAATTTTTAATGGGACGAACTGTAAATAATTTTTAGGCTACTAGTTTTATACATACCTATATACAGAGTGACCCAGGCCTCCAAAAAAGCTTTTTACCTATTACGTTTTTGGTTTGTGATTTTTATTTCAATTTTTTACATAAGATGGGGGCCATTGTAATGCACATTTTCAAAATATTTTTGTCAACATACAGGGTGATTCAAACCGCAATACATATGCTTAATACAGTTCATGAAGATTGCGACATTTAACTAAAATTTGATTGTCTGATGAAGCTACCTTTTAAAGTAATGGGTTTGTAAATAAACGTAATATTCATTATTATGCGACAGAAATTCCATACTGTAGCACACAGATTTGATACTTTTAATGATAAATGCCTTCTATTGAGAGACTAAAAGGTAATAATCAGAACCATCATAATACAAGAAGAAGGCCGAAAGAGTCAAATCTTGTCTTATATTTTCAAAAAACACAATTTTCTCATTAAATATTGATTTTAGGTATAGGAAGTTATTAATAATACAAGATTAAACAAGTATTACACAGTACTTCACAGGAAGCTATCGATTGCGAACTAACTAAATCGTTACTAATTACTAATTTTTAAAAGTTCTTTTTAAGATCAAAAAAGGTAAAACTAAAACCTAACCTATCATTTGAGATTAAACGGGAAGTTCTAAATAATGTTGCCTATTCTAAACAAGAAAAATTTATTTATAAGTTTTATAACATCTCTAATTAAATTTGGACGGAAAGAATATTTCTGTTTGCTGTAGGTAATTTTCTCAGGGAAAATACGTAAATAAAAATGACTTTTTAAGTCAAAAAAAGTCAAAAGGACAAGTTATTCCAAAAAAGGACTGTCCTTTTCAAAAAAGGACAGGTGGCAACCCTAGGTATTTCTGGAATGGAAGTTTAATGGCAAATCTACAACTTTAGTTTGAAAATATCTTCCGGCCACCTATGTCCACTACACCAAAAATGTCTAAAATGTGCTTTACCATTGCCTCCATATTCGGAAAAAAAATTCAAAGAAACGTCACCAACCACAAACCTACTATAGAACTGTTTCAGAAACTTGAGTCACCCTGTAAATATTCAAAAGTAACTGAAAGTTTATATAGAAGTAACTGAAAGTTTAAATTGAAAATCGACGTTGGAGCGATTTTCGAAAACTACCTACTAACGTTTCAACATAAGTATATATGGGATATTAATTATAATATTATATTAGACCTTATAACAAAACTCATCTGACGAAAAAGTGTTAATGTAGTATATTAATATGGAGTAAAAATTTTACTAATTGCTTTACTTTACTTTACTAATTAAATTTCTTCCAAAAAACGATACGCCACTGGCAAGAACAATCCAAATGCGCCTAGTTGCCGGGGTCGGAAATTTTAGACTTCTCTGTCTCTTCTGTCCTTGTTTGATACATTGGAATGTTTGATACACTTCCAACGAGTATTTATGAATGAGATGTTCGGTCTATCTTTATAATGTCTTTGGTTAAAGTAAATAAATATTTGCTAAATTATTTACTTGACGAAAAAGCATAGGACGCAGGGATACGACACTTCGTGAGATGAAAGAGTATCATATTAGGTTTGAGTTTGTGGCTGTATCTCAAAACAGGCATTTTTTGAGATACGTCAGTTTGTGAAATTAACGACGATATGATTGAAAAAAACGTCGTTAAGTTGTGTTGGAAATGACGATCGGTAACATTTCCCATAAAAATTGACATATACATAAACTGACAGCGGTCTTGATTTAAATAGAAAAACTAATCATATACAGGGTGTCCCAGGCTGAGCATGCATTAGAAGTTTCTGGAAAACTACAACATCTAGCTCGGAGATTTTTTGCACATCATAGTTTCACAACGAGATCTATCGATTAAAAATATTTTCAATATGGCGGCACTTCCGGAAATACCGGAAGTTGACAGCAACTTTCTTATTTTAAATGGCTGCCCCCATTTTTTATTATGTATTTAAATTCTCTGTAAAATTTTATGAATTTTGATATTAAACAATCTATATCTAACATTAACCGTTTTTGAGAAAAAAAATATTTAAAAAAAACTGCCTGTCAAAAATATGTGTATAGCCTAAACGTCAAATTTAGTGATTACCACAGCCACTGTGTTATAAAGAGAAAACATGTGGCTATCTATTTCACAAATTAAATTGTTCGAATGTCATATAATAATAGCCGCAGCTGTCATAGAATTGAGCTATTTAAAAATTAACATAAGTCATTTTTTTGAAGTAGATAGCCACATGTCTTCTCTTTATGTCACAGTGGCCGTGGTAATCACTAAATTTGACTTTTAGGCTATACAAAGTTTTTTAACAGGTAGTTTTTTTCGTCCAAAAATTTTAAATAATTTTTTTCTCAAAAACGGTTAATGTTAGATATAGAGTGTTTAACATCAATATTCATAGAATTTTACAGAGAATTTAAGTATTTAATAAAAAATGGGGGCACCCATTTAAAATAAGAAAGTTGCTGTCAACTTCCGATAATTCCGGAAGTGCCGCCATATTGAAAATATTTTTAATCGATATAATCTCGTTGTAAAACAATGATGTGCAAAAAATCTCCGATCTAGATATTGTGGTTCTCTAGATTGAAGTTTGACCTCATATCATGTTATTTTAACAGAACGTCAACGGTTTATAATAAACGTATCTTAGATTACAGTTGGGGGTTGAAATCTTTGCTGTTAGCTAAATAAAACACTAATTCACCACAATACACCAAAACACTTTATTTTGAACTGGACGCGTGTTTCGCTAACCATGTTATAGGTTCCAAACCAAACCAAGAACATGTAACTAAGTTTCAGTTAAACTGACTTCAGTTTTAATTAATAACTCATCATGCATTCTCAGGACTTTGACAAAAGTAAAGTTTGACAAAAGCCAGTGTCTGAGACTGCTCAACAGAGGCCAGTTTTATTTTGCCATAGACGTATCTGCTAAATAAGTATCTCTCGAATAGTTGTATTTAGATATTTTTAGTAGCTTTTTCTTCATTCTTTGTGTTTTTTTATTTTTATTATTTTAGCGACACGAAGCCGACACGACGGGAAGAGATATACTTCCTGACACTTAAGCATTTTTTCTCAATTAGGCCAATTTGTTTTACTCATGTTTTACTAGTAAAATACGACTCACAAATTGATTTCCGTTTGGATTTAAACAGTGTCGTTTACAAAAAATAACTTATATTTTGTACATTTTCTTCTAGTGACGAAGAACTCAGAATTAATTCTTTTCAAGAGATGTGTAATGTAACATGTATATGATTGAATCGGAGCCTTTCTTTAGACAAAAGTCAGTATCTGAGACGGTTTACGGAGAGTTTATGGCACGAATGGTTGTCGTCTCGATGCACTCATCAGCGACGAGATGTTCTGGTGTTTCCCCATATTTCCCACAGAATCTGTATTCGCCGTTGTTTCTGCGCTTCAATCTACTGGGGTGTTCGTTGAGGAGACAGTGTCCTGTTAAAAACCCCCTGACAATCCGAAGATTGTTCTTATATAAATCAAGAAAAATATATTTTATTTTTCTCGGTCGTTTTCTAAGTCCAAAGTTCTAAGCACGTCTAACCACAATTAAAACCACTTTATCTACTACAAATGTGATAGAAATATGGACAATCACCCAAACTGTACTGACTTGTAATGGAACAATCAAAGAGATTCGCTAAAAAAGCGACATACAAGTGGAGCCAAGAATTCGTGTTACATTACATGTTACGTTACATGATTCATTACACACGTCTGACCCGGGCTTCACGAAAATAAGCGGCGTTCTAATGAGGACCATAGGAGGATTATCGGGGCATATAAACAAAAGGCCGCGGCCGTTTC